TCAAGTCAAGAGATGATCCAGTAGTTGTTGTTTAGTTGTTCAGTTGTGTCTGACTCTTCATGACCCCATGGACCACTGCACATCCCTCTATTGGAAGTTTGTCCAAGTTCATGTTTGTTGTTGCCATGACATTATTTATCCATCTCATCCTCTGCATAATCCAGACCTGTGGAATATATAAGCATTTATTAAGCACTAGGAAACTGGCTATGTGCTAGACATATGAAGATATAAATTAACCATTCCGTGACCTCAAAAAGTTAACATTTGTCAGGGGGAAGCAACGTGTATGTGCACAGGGTATATACAGAATTCAGGAGTCCATTGCCTCTCTCCTATTGGCATGTCCCAATGTCACTATTTACTGTCTGTGTGAACTTGGCCAAGACCTTTAACCTTTTTGAGCATCACTATTTTTCACCTTTAAAATGAAAATCATAATATAACTACATACAATTGTCTCATACAATTGTCATGAGGCTCATAATGTGCTTAAAGTGCTGTGTAATTACTGTGCTATATAAAGTTAAGCAGTCTTAATCACCTTCGTGATCATCATAATTTCATTGCTCTTCAACAGGAATCTTCCCCTTTGCTCATTCTTTTTTCTTGCTTCTGCTTAACATTTCCCCTGCCTAGAATGCCTTTTCTGTGCTTCTGTGTCTCTCTAAATCCTACATAAATCCAACCATTCCTCAGAAAGCTTCCGCCACCATAAGGGAAGGCATAATCATTATCCACTAGATTATCTTGGTTCATTAGCTAGAAGGCAAGGTAAGGATAATCAGGCATCACCCCACAAATTGGCAAAAATGAGCAAAACCAGGACATCTAGGTGGCACAGTGGATAGAGTACCGGCCCTGAAGTCAGGAGGACCTGAGTTCAAATCCGGCCTCAGACCAAACACTTGACACTTACTAGCTGTGTGACCCTGGGCAAGTCACTTAACCCCAGTTGCCTTTAAAAAAAAAAGCAGGGGGGGAATGACCAAAACCAAATGGGAACAGTTAATAGAGGAGGTACTGTGGGAGAACAGGCAAACTAATATATTCTTGGTGAAGCTGTGAATTGATCCAGCCATTCTGAATATCAGGAAAATAAATTAAGCTATTGATACTCTGACCAAGTGATTCATAAGGAATCTAGTGAACTACGGGAATACCCCCAGGTCACACATGGAAATAAAGAGCTAATATATGCCAAAATATTCATAACAGCACTTTTTTTTGTGGTAGCAAAGAACTTGAAACAAAGTGGGTATACCTTAATAACAACAACAGTTAACGTTTATATAGCACAGCACCAGGTACTGTGCTAAGTGTCAAGTGACTGAAGTGGGATTTGAACTTAGGTCCGTTTGACTCTAGGGCTAGTGTTCTATCCACTGCATCACCTACCTGCCCCTACAATGTTTATTAAAATAGTTATGTTACAAGTTAGAATTATGACTAATTGTTTTTTAGGAGGGATCATATAGCTATGTCCCTACACCAACATCCATTGCCTTGAATGTCCACTGACAGCTAAGATGCCTGAGCCTCAGAAACTGGGGATAGAGATGGAGCCCAAGACTGGTTCATTAGCTAGAAGACAAGGTATCCCTTTGAATTTTCCACAAGTTTGTTGCTGTGCAAAAGATGGCAGATTTGGGGTGCTACTTGGGGTGCTTTTTCTCCTCCATGTGTAAAACTTCATCGAGCTGCTGGAAGAGCTGGTGTTTCTTCTCTTGTGAGGCCCAGAATTTCTCCTTTAGCAATGTAACCCTAATGGTTTGGGAGGACCAATAATGAAACCTCCCTCCATGTTCTCAGGAAAGAGGCTGGTGACTACCTAAGAATGTAGTCAGCAAGGCAACAAACATTTATTAAGGCTTACTATGTGCCAAGCACAGTCCCCATTCATAGTCCCTAAGACAGTCCTTAGCCTCTGGTTGAAGGGAGACTGGGGTGAGTTGGGGGAGATGATGAAGTCTAGTAGCCTGGTAGAAAATGAAGAGATTCCTGTCCTGGGCTCCCTGTTTAAATAGAGTTTGTATATATTGTCAAATGTGGTGTCTGTACTTGGTGTTTTTGCTTTACTGTGTTTCTTTGATACCAAGGAAGATTCAATTTGGATGGGAGGAGGGAGAAATATTTCCCAAAACGACTGTGATGTAAAAATTATCAATAAAATTTGTTTTGTTTTAAAGAAATTGTATAGATTTGTTAACTTGTCAAAAGATACAGATAAGCAGTTTTCAAAAGAAGAAAGGGCAAATGATCAATGTCCATTCAAAAAATGTCCTAAATCACAAATAATGAGAGAAATGGAAATTAAAATAACTGAAGTTTTACCTCACACTTAGTATTGGCAAAGATGATAAAACAGTCAAAGTTGAAAGGGCTGTGGAAATACAGGCCCATTAATCCACTGTTGTTAGAGCATAGGGTGGTTCAACCATTCTGAAAAAAGAATTGAAATTATGTAAAAAAATTCACAAAACTCTTCATGCCTTTTGACTCAGTTTACTTCTGGGTATACACTCCATGGAGATCTAAGAGAAAGAATTGACCAGTATATTCACAACAATACTTTGTGGTAGCAAAAAATTGTAAACAAAGTGAGTATCCATCAGTTGGGTAATGTAATGACTGGACAATTGTGGTATATGAGTTTAATGGAATATGCTAACAAATTTGAGGGATTTATAGAAACATGGGAAGACTTGTATAAACTGATGCAGAGCAAAGATAGCTAAATTAAGAGAACAGCATACATGGCTACAATAAAATAAATGAAAAAAAAATACAAAAAGACCAGTGGATTCAGATGAAAAGCAATGACCAGTATTAATTACAGAGGCCAGATGGAAAAACAATTTTCTCTCTTCTAATTAGAATGGGTCAAAAGGTGATCCTTAACGTGGCATGCAGGAAAAAAAAAAGATTGCTGATTGGTTTAACTTGCCTGTTTTTGCCTTAGTACAAAAATTATGGGCTCATAGGACTTTGGAGGAAAATTATATGAGGCTATATGACATATGTTATCAGAGAGAGTCAGTGACTCAGTTTATTTTGTTTAACTGTCCTTTGTTGGAAAGAAGAATTTTATTGAGGGGAGGTTAGGTTGTTGGGAGGTGATAGTGACATTTTGAAAATGTATCAGAGAAACTTATTTTTTTAAGATTGCCTATTATTTACACTTATTTGGCCTACAACTCCCTTTAAAAATTACTCAGCTCCCCTCTGGAAGTCTACTTTCTCTAAGCCTTTAATTGCTTTAAAAAAAAAATTGGGTCATTTCAAAAAAAATAACCCCCCCCCATGACTCCAGTGCTTCCCAAGGGGTGATATTGCCCACTTTGGAAGCCTATGATAGACTGTGATTGGATGAACAAGCCTTAGATCTGGTCCATTCATATTATATATGTGTGTGTGTGTGTGTGTGTGTGTGTGTGTGTGTGTGTGTGTGTGTGTAGATATATATGTGTGTGTGTATATATATATATATATATATATATATATATATATATTTATATGTATATAGACTTTTCAGAAGGACTGTGAACTAGGCCCAGAATTAAATCAAAAGAAAATGGATTAGATTATATTAGGCAAATTGCATAGGCTTTTAACAACCTTAGGTTTTTCCTTAGGACAGAAACCCATCTTTTAAAATATCATTTTACTTCCAATGATGCTATGTGACACATGGAATAATCACAGTCTCTGAAGAATCAAAATTTCAGGTTACTTAAATGGTGAAGGAAAGATGCACAGGGGGTTTAAATAAGCCATGGCATATTATTAATTGAACAGAAGAAGCAGTAAAAAAGACATCTTCAAAGACATACATGACCAGAAGATGACATAGAGTCATAATAGGTAACAGATGTACAGCTTGTGTTCTATTAGTGCACAGATGATTTCAGGAGACCCAGAGGAAGAACTCCTCCCATACATTAATTGGACATTGATGAAGAATGAGAATAAGTATTAAAGCTACATAGAATGAGGTGTGGATAAGTTGTCATACATTTTCATAGTTGAAGGAAATACTCACATTAATGACACAACAAATCATTAAATCATTAAAGAAATAAGTAGTACCTAACAAAGAGCTGTTGTGAGGCTCAGATGGGACAAGATATCTGAAAGAGCTTTATAAGTTGTTATGTTCTATTCAAACGAGTAATATAAAAAGATAAAGTATTATTGTTTGTATTTCAATGAAAATAGGTTGATGTTCTAGTTGTCTTTTTTTAGGCTATACATAAGTGATGTTACAAAGACCTGTTAGTTCAGTTTATTGAAAATACCCAACCAAACTTATTTGTGGGTTTCATGGAAATAATTTTTTAAAATCTATCCAACTGGGGCAGTTAAATGGTGCAGTGGATAGAGCACTGGCCCTGGAGTCTGGTGGTTGGATCTTAGACATTTACTAGCTATGTGACTGGGCAAGTCACTTAATCCTTACTGCCTCCAGAAAAAACAAAACAAAACAACTAACTAAACTTTATAATTTTCTAGTGGTTGTGTAGACATCTTCCTACTGAAAGTTAAGGATGCTGTGAGTTTAATTAAAGCAATTGATAAAAATATTAATAATTTAATTAAAGCTATTATCTTTCATATTTTTAATCCTTTTCCACTGTTATTTAAGTGATCCTGTGAGCTTTCTGTCCAAAAGAATCCAGAAGAAAAGCAAGTGGCCAGGTTGAGAATAAGCATATGAGAAAGCAGAACCAAGCATTTAGAATTCAATCAATCAATAATAATTTATTAAGTGCCTACTGTGTGCCAGGCACTGTATTAAGTGCTGAAGATACAAAAAGAGACATTCCCTGCCCACTAGGAGTTTATAACCTAATGGGGAAGAATTAAACTGAATGCTCATGAACTTTCTCTGATGTGAAAATTTAGTCCCTTCTGTACCTAAGATAAATTAGGTCATTTTACAAAATTGGATAAAATATATAGACTGTGTAATGTACTCCTTCCAAACACTTTTTCTTCTTTTGCTGAGTTCTCTATTTACACTCTAATGCAATGAAACTTATTCCCAGGGAAAACATATGTCTTTTTTTTTTTATTTAACAGGCCTTAACTTATTTCACGTAAAATGCATTTGGTCACATTGAAGAGAATGCACCCAGGTAACAAATGCATTCCAACCTTTGTATTTATCGTCCTATATTGACATATTTTTAATATATTTTCCAGCTACTCTAATTAGGTTCTTTTTAAAAATGGCATTTTTAAATGCTCCTTAACATTCAGAATTTCTGACTCTTAGGGAAATTATTAAAAGGATAGAGTTAGAGCTTAATGTAGGGAGCTCTCACAGGATCTCAGATCTGGTATAAAAGCCTTAGATGGAAAATTTTGAAGATGAATAGTAAAAACCCCTCTTTTGTGCTTAACTTCAATAAATGATTTCTTGAAGTAAATGGAAACTTATATATGCTCTAGCTGATGTATTCTTTCAGATGTCATTGAATGGGATGTCCCAGTGAAGACTCCTCAGTGTAATTAAGGTTTGGGATAAGGCTGAGTGGGATGAGGGGTCCCTTGAAAACTTCCCTTAGAAGAATAAATAGAAATTGTATTAGACTCAAGGCAGGCATAGCAGCCTGACAGGCCTAAATTTCGATTTACTAGAAATCACCTGATTTATGGGAATTCAACCCCCTTCTCTGGCCACCCAAAGTTACTTTAGTATTTAAGATCCACCCTAGCCCCCATTCACATGTTGAGAATCTCAGGCCCACAAGGCTGAGAACCTCTCATGCCTGCTCGTCTTTATGGGTGTCACCTGGCCTCTGTGATTTATCACTAATAAACTTTTCCTCTGGCTGAAGAAGATTTGAGTTGAATTCATTCAGCAGGGCCCAGTACCGTGATCTTGGGGATTTTCCAGCACCCCAAAAGTCCTAGACCTCTTCAGCTTGACTGCACATCTTTAATTGCTTCTTTGGTATTACTTCAGCAAACTAAGAAATATAGATATGTATATTGTGTTCATTGTTTTGTTTTCAGTTTCTATGGACATTGAGAATGTGAGCCAAATATTAGCCAGTTGGTAGGGGGGAATTTGCCCATTAGGGTATATAATCAGGTCCTTTTGCTTCTGTCTGTGTCTCCTTTCATCAGAGTATTCTGGTGTAGGGACACCCAAATCTCGAGGTTTGATATAATAATAATAAATTAACTTTCTGTTTCTCCTTGGATACCTCTGTGTATTCTTTAATTTGAGTGGCATCCCACACATCATCCTGAAAGCAACAAATGGGTACAGATCAAGTAGGGCTAATGGAAAATATTTAAAACTTGGGTAAATTAAGTGGTTAAATCTGTTGTAGCACATGCTATGGAACAACTCTCTCAACCCCTACTCATTCTGGCTGGTTGGGTCCACAGAAGGCAGCTGCTACTGGGTTCCAAGGGTAGTCCTGAGAACTCAAGGGATTATTTTTAATGCTATAGCTCATGAGCCCCTGCTGGTGTGTTCTAACCCTTATCAGTTGATATTAATTAATTGGCCCGATGTAATTAGCTTTTGGAAAAGGGTATCCACGAAGATGGTAGGGTAAGAACAGTTGGTACAAAACATTGCCCCCAAATCTATGACACTCTCCTGAATTGCATAGGGAATATAGAAGAATGTGGGCTCAAGCTTAGAGAATATATGGGGCAACTCAGAGCTTCTGGTTGCTGGAAGTCCTTTATCAGTCTTTGTAGGGTATTCATGAATTTTTCCTTAGGTATGGCATAGCTTTTCTGCTGAGCTCCTTCTGGAGCCTTCAGTTTGCCTTTCGTTATTACATCCAGTCTATTCTTACTCCTTCAGTCCTCTCTGGATTCTCCTCCTGATTCTCTAGCCTTTTTTCTTCATCCCACCCCAGCAGCCTTCTCACCGTAGAAGATTCTTCCACCTTGGTGTCCCCTTCCTCTGATTGTTCAGGCCCACAACCTCTACTTTGAGGAAAGGCTCAGGCTAACTGTGGTCACTCTGTTATCTTCTGCATCCTCCACTGGACTTCTTTTTTTTCACCATGCCATGTGGGGAGATCGGCCACTCCCTTTAGCTTTCTAGCTTCCTTCTAGGTATTATGTCTCCCCATTAGAATGTGAGCTCCTCGAGAGCAGAGATTGTCTTTTTTTTTTTAATTATATTTGTATTCCCAGTACTTGACAAGGTGCCTAGCTAAGTACTTAATAAATACTTGTTGACTTGCATTGAATTGATTTCTTAGTTTATAGTGCAGACACTGACAATAGCTATCCTGGGACTGCTACTGTCCTGTCCTGGGATACTGCTAGGATGATAATATAAAAGTCCAGATCCTTCAGTTTTCCAAAGTCCAAGAAGCTCCCCTTTAGCTGAAGGGAAGAGAGGAAAGGAGGAGACTGAGAATGAAGTTCAGGTCAAGGCTTGGGCTCATCTACTCATAAATCATTCCTTCTTAGGAGCTTGCCTGGCAGCTTCTCCCACTAAGTTGCCAAATATTCGTATTGTCTAGGTTCAGAACTGTCTTGCTTTATACATAGTAAGCAATTAATAAATATTTCATTCATTCATTTTTTCCCCTTTTTTTTGGTAAGGCAAACAGGGTTAAGTGACTTGCCAGGGGTTACACAGCTAGCAAGTGTCATGTGTCTGAGGCCGAATTTAAACTCAGGTTCTCCTGACTCCAAGGCCAGAGCTTATCCACTGTGCCATTTAGCTGTCCCTCATTCATTCTTAATTCATAGGATGTCACCAAGTTTCTTCAAGCAATTTGAATACTCTTCCTATGCAACATCACTCAAGATCATCTAGTGGCTTTTGTGGGTATCCACATTGGTTGAGAATTGTTTTTGTACACTTAATTTATTAGAGAAGTAATTTCACCTCATTAAGGCGTCAGGGTGCAGCATGTTGTCACTTAACTGTGTGTGTGTGTGTATGTGTGTGTGTGTGTGTGTGTGTGTGTGTGTATGTGTGTGTTGGGAATTCCTTACAGCTGGATTAGTGGCTTATGCCCTCTATTATGTTCATATGAATTTACTGCCACCTTAATGTTGAAACTTTACTCAATAAATGGAATGTTTAATGGCTCCCAGAGAAGAAATATGAGAATGAATTTCCCTCCCTTCTTTGCAGAGATAGGGGACCATGGGTGTGGAACACTACATATAACGTAGGACTTGGTTGTGTGTTAATTAATTTTTACAGTATTTTTCCCCCTATTTGTTAGTCTTTATTTTAAGGGAAGACTCTCTGGGACAGAGAGTAGCGGGAGATGTAATGTGTAAAGAAGATGTTGCGAAGAGAAAGGTATCAATAATTTTTTTTAAAAGAGAAAAGGATTACCAAAATAGGATTAGAGCTCAAAAGAGTTGAAGAGTATGCTAAAAAACACACTTATATAATGTGTTAGGTTCTAATAATTTAGTTTCTTACTTGTTATGCTATTTACACCTATATAAGTAAGGAAATAATCAACTCAATTATATTTTATTATTATACACTTTTTTGGTTTTCCACGTCAACCTTGTACTGCCTCATCCTTGCTGTTCTTCTAGGCTCTGGGCTATTCAGGGATAGATTGAACTAGGAGAGTAGTGCTGGCACAGAAAAATGAATATGTGTCTGAGGCCATGTGTGCTCACTGTATTCCAGTGTACGTTTCAGGTAAGTGTACTTCTCTAAATGAATTCCATACCTAAGTTAAATGTATTTTTGATTATGCATTGCTTTATATTGCACATGCCTCTTCTCTACCTCATTAGTGTAGAAAATTTGAATTAATTGAGTTATGAAAATTGGATCCACTTTTTGATGTTTGGATTAATTAACCCCTACCCTTTTCCTAATCTCAATCTCTCAGAATCCTTATTTTCCTTCAAGGTTCAGCTTAGATGCATCCTCTTGCATTTTAAAGCTTTCCCTGATTTTCTCCACAAATTATATTTACTTGTGTATATGTTGTATTGATCCATCCTCTTTTTCTCCCCCTATCTCCAATACAAGTTTCTTGAGGGCAAGGACTTTTCTTTTTTAAGGGCAAGGACTTTGAAAAAATACCTTTTTATTGATTTATTTTATTTTTATATAGCTTACATTTTCCCCTGTCAGTCTCCTTTTGCACTTCCCAAATAGTCAATCCTTACCAAAAAAGGGTTTTCTTTTTGTTTTAAAGAAAAATAGAAGAGGTTAAAAAAACCAACAAAACAAATCCAAGCATGAAAAAAATCTGGTGTTAGATGTAATATTCCATATGTATGGGACCTTCTTCTTCCTACCTTCTGCAAAGGAGCCAGGGGAAAGTTTTTCCCCATGTTTCTTCTTTGGGGTTAAGCTTCTTCTTTCGAATTTTGTGACATTCATTTTTGATTGTTCTGTTATTGTTGTTCTTTACACACACACACACACACACACACACACACACACACACACACACTAGTATTTTATTTTTCCCTTTACATGTAAAGATAGTTTTCGGCATTCTTTTTTTAATAAAATTTTGAGTTCCAAATTTTTTCTCCCTACCTTCCTTCTATTCCCCCTTCATCACGACAAGCAATCTGCTATAGATTATACATGTACAATCATGTAAATATATTTCCACATTAGTCATGCTGTGAAAGAAGAAACAGAACAAAAGGGAAGAGCTATGAAAAACAAAACAAAAAAAATGAAAGTAGTATACTTTGATCTACACTCAGACTCTCTGGATGTGGATAGCATTTTCTATCATGAGTCTTTTGGAATTGTCTTGGATCATTGTATTGCTGAGAACAGCTAAGTCAGTCATGGTTGATCATCACACAGTGTTGCTGTTACTGTGTATAATGTTCTTCTGGTTATGCTCAATTCATTCAGCATCAGTTCATGTAAGTTTTTCCAGGTTTTTCTGAAATCTGTCTGCTCATCATTTTTTTTTTTGCACAATAGTATTCCATTACATTCATATACCACAACTTGTTCAGCCATTCCCCAATTGATGGGCATCCCCTCAATTTCCAGTTCTTTGCCACCAACAAAAAGAGCTGCTATAGATATTTTTGTACATGTGGGTCCTTTTTCAATTTTTTATGATCTCTTTGGGATATAGACCAAGTAATGGTATTGCTGGGTCAGAGGATATGCAGTTTTATAGCCCTTTGGGCATAGTTCCAAATTACTCTCCAAAATGGTGGGATCAGTTCACAACTCCACCAATAAAGCATGAGTGTCCTAATTTTCCCACATTTTCTTCAATATTTACCATTTTCCCTTTTTGTCATATTAGCCTATCTGATAGGTGTGAAGTGGTACTTCAGAGTTGTTTTGATTTGCATTTCTCTAATCAAGAGTGATTTAGAGCAATTCTTCATATGACTATAGATAGCTTTAATTTCTTCATCTGAAAATTGACAGTCCATATCCTTTGACCATTTGTTAATTGGGGAATGACTTGTATTCTTATAAATTTGACTCAGTTTTCTATGTATTTGAGAAATGAGGCCTTTAGCAGAAACACTTGCTGTAAAAACTGTTTCCCAGCTTTCTGCTTTCCTTCTAATCTTCGTTGCATTGCTTTTGCTTTTGCAAAACATTTTAATTTAATGTAATCAAAATCATCCATTTTGTGTTTCATAATGGTCTTTATCTCCTGTTTGGTCATAAATTCTTCCCTTCTCCATAGATCTGACAGACAAACTATTTTTTGCTCTCCTAATTTGCTTATTGGTATCACCCTTTATGTCTAAATCATGTACCCATTTTGACCTTATCTTGGTATATCATGAAAGATGTTGTCTAGTTTCTGCTATACTATTTTCCATTTTTTCCAACAGCATTTGTTAAATAGTTCTTATCCCAGAAGCTGGAGACTTTGGGTTTATCAAACAGTAGATTACTATAGTCCTTTACTACTGTATCTTATGTACCTAATCTGTACCATTGATCTACTGCTCTATTTCTTAGCTAGTACCAAATAGTTTTGATGATTTCTGCTCTGTAATGTAGTTTTCCAGCTGGTATGGCCAGCCCACCTTCCTTTGCATTTTTCCCCATTAATTCCCTTGATATTCTTGATGTTCTTCCAGATGAATTTTGTTATTATTTTTTATAGCTCTATAAAATAATTTTTGGTGGTTTGATTGATATGGCACTGAATAAGTAAATTAATTTATGTAGAGTTGTCATTTTTATTATATTAGCTCATCCTACCCATGAGCGATTTATATTTTTCCAATTGTTTAGATCTGACTTTATTTGCATGAAAAGTGTAATTGTGTTCATATTCTTCCTGGGTTTGTCTTGGCAAGTAGACTCCAAAATATTTCATATTGTATATAGTTATTTTAAATGTATTTTCTCTGTTGCTGCTGGGCTTTGTTGTAATATATAGAAATGCTGATGACTTATGTCAGTTTATTTTATATCCTGTGACTTTGCTAAATTCTCTAGTATTCTCTAAGTATACCATCATGTCATCTGCAAAGAGTGATAGTTTTGTTTCCTCATTGCCTATTTTAATTCCTTCAATATCTTTTTCTTCTCTTATTGCTAAAGCTAACATTTCTTATGCAATGTTGAATAATAATGGTGATAATGGGAATCCTTGTTTCACCTCTGCTCTTACTGGGAAGGCTTCTAGCTTTTCCCCATTACAGACAATACTTGCTGATGGTTTTAGATAGATACTAGTTATCATTTTAAGGAATGCTCCATTTATTTCTGTGATCTCTATTGTTTTTAATAGGAATGGATGCTGTATTTTGTCAAAAGCCTTTTCTGCATCTATTGAGATAATCATATGATTTTTGTTAGTTTTGTTATTTATATGGTTAATTATGCTGATAGTTTTCCTAATATTGAACCAGTCCTGCATTCCTGGTATAAATCCCATCTGGTCAGAGAGCATTATCCTGATGATAAAATGTTATAATCTCTGCTAATATTTTATTTAAAATTTTCACATCAATATTCATTAGGGAAATTGGTCTATAATTTTCTTTCTCTCTTTTGGCTCTTCCTGGTTTAGGTAGTAGCATCATATTTGTGTCATGCAAACCTTCTTCACCTACTTTTCCAAATAGTTGATATGGTATTAGAATTAATTGTTCTTTAAATGTTTGGTAGAATTCACCTGTAAATCCATCTGGCCCTGGAGATTTTTTTGTAGGGATGGCTTGTTGAATTTCTTTTTCTAAAGTGGGGTTAATTAAGTATTTTATTTCCTCTTCTGTTAATCTGGGCAATTTATATTTTTATAAATATTCATCCATTTCACTTAGATTGTCAGATTTATTGGCACGCAGTTGGGCAAAATGGTTCCTAATTATTGCTTTAATTTCCTCTTCATTGGGGGTGAATTCACTCCTTTTCATTTTTGATAACTGGTAATTTGGTTTTCTTCTTTCTTTTTTTCTAATCAAATTAAGCAAAGGTTTATCTGTTTTATTGTTTTTTTTTAAACCAGCTCTTAGTTTTATTTATTAGTTCAATCGTTTTCTTACTTTCAATTTTATTAATCTCTCCTTTGATTTTCATAATTTCTAATTTGATGTTTAATTGGGGATTTTTAATTCCCCTTTCTAGCTTTTTTAGTTGCATGCCCAATTCATTGCTCTGTTCTTTCTCTATTTTATTCACATAAGCATTTAGAGATATACAGTTTCTCCTAAATACCACTTTGGCTGAATCTCATAAATTTTGGTATGTTGTCTCGTTGTTCTCTTTGATGAAATTATTATTTCTATGATTTGTTGTTTGACCCACTCATTCTTTAGGATTAGATTATATAGTTTCCAATAAATGTTTAATCTATCTTTCCATGGCCTTTTATTACACATAATTTTTATTGCATCATGATCTGAAAAGGATGAATTTAATGTTTCTGCCTTTTTGCATTTGATTGTGAGTTTTTTATGCTTTAATATTTTGTGTAGGTGTCATATACCACTGAGAAAAAGGTATATTCCTTTCTATCCATATTCAGTTTTCTCCAGAGGTCTATCATATCTAACTTTTCTAAAATTCTATTCACTTCCTTAACTTCTTTCTTGTTTATTTTGTGGTTAGATTTATCTAGTTCTGAGAGGGAGGAGGTTATGGTCCCCTACTAGTATAGTTTTCCTGTCTATTTGTTCCTATAACTCACTTAACTTCTCCTCTAGGAATTTGGATGCTATACCACTTGGCGCATATATGTTTAATATTGATATTACTTCATTGTCTATGTTACCTTTTAGCAAGTTACAGTTTCTTTCCTTGTCTCTTTTAATTAGGTCTATGTTTGCTATTGCTTTGTCTGAGATCAGGATTACTACTCCAATTTTTTTTTTTTACTTCAGTTGAAGCATAATATATTCTACTCCAGCCTTTTGCGTTTATTCTGTGTGTCTCGTTATTTCAAGTGTGTTTCTTGTAAACAACATATTGTAGGATTCTGGTTTTTAATCTATTCTGCTCTCTGCTTCTATTTTATGGAGTTCATCTCATTCATATTCACATTTATGATTACTGTGTTTTCCCTCCATCCTATTTTTGTTGTTTATACTTCTCTCTCTCAATCTCTCTCTCTCTCCTTTCACCCTGTCCCTCCTCACCAGTGTTTTGCTTCTGACCACAACCTCCCTCAATTTGCATTCCCTTTTATCCACCCCCTCCCCTTTTCTTTTCCTCTTCTCCTCCTACTTCCC